TTTAAATCAATACTAACTTTTTATTTGTTGTTATCTATCATCCACCTGAGCCTGAGTTTCCATTTGATTACTCAGACTTTTTATCTGATTTAGTGCTCAAATAAAATATTTATTGTGAGTGATTTTAACATACATGTAGATACTGAACTTAACCTCTTCTCTCAAAATGTAAAAGAACCCATCCACCACTTTAACCATACTCTAGGTCTTCTTCTAACTTATTCTACAGAAACTGACCATTTAACAATATTTCCCCTAAACCCTCTATTGTTGGATATTTTCCAACATTTAAATTTACAATAAAGGATGACACAGAATTGGGGAATACATTTCATCACAGTACATGTCTTTTTGAAGGTGCTGTAACTAAATTTAAAGATATAATTCCCCCAGTTTTATCTTCTTCAGTGCCTTGTGCCAGCAGAGTGCAGAGCAGGTACCTGAACTTTAATCCCACAGAATTGATTATCTTGTTAATAATTTTACATCTTCAATGCATTTGAATCTGGATACTGTAGAACCTCTGAAAAGAGAATCTCAAATTAGAAAAACTTGACTCCGTTGTATAACTCTCAAATGCACACCTTAAAACAGATAACTTGTAAGCTGGAGAGGAAATGTTGTCTCGCTAATTTAGAAGATCATGATTTAGCCTGGAAAGTAGTTTGTTGCTCAAAAGCCCTCCACAAAGCTAGAACATCTTACTCGTCTTCACTGTTGAAGAAAATAAGAGCTCTAGATTTCTCTTCATCATTGTGGCCAGGCTGACAAAAAGTCAGAGCTCTGTTGAGTCAAGCATTCTTTTAATCTTAACTACTTCATGAATTTCTTTACAAATAAAATCCATCCATCCATTCTTTCACTTGGCAAATTCAGGGTCACAGGGGTGCTGGAGCCTGTCCCAGCTACCGTAGGATGAGAGGTGTTTGTTGCAGGGTGAACACAAAGAGACAGACAACCATTTGCATTCACATTCAAATCTATGGGAAAGTACCCTGAGGTAACTCACACAGACACGGGGAGAACATGCAAACTCCACACAGAAAGACCCTGGCAGAAGATGGTGGAACCCAGGACCTTCTCACCGTGAGGCAACAGGGCTAACCACCCTGCTATTGTGCTGCCTAAAAATTTATCCATTAGAGAAAAAATTACTCATGACCATTTTAAAAACATTACATTGTGTACAGCTTCTTTCAGTACCATTGATATTTATCTAGAGTCTTTTTCTCCAGTTGATCTTTCTGAGTCCACTCCAGCTCATCACAGTACTGAAAAAGCATTAGTGAAAGTTCCAAATGATCTTCTTATGGCCTCTGATAGTGGACTCATCATGCTGGATCTCAGGGCAACATTAGATACTGTTGATCATAATATTTTATTACAGCAATCAGAGCATGTTGTCATTACTGTAAAAAAAAATATTTTTTTACAGTGATTAGAGCATGCCATAGGCATTAAAGGCCCTGCGCTGCAGTGGTTTGAATCATATCTAGCTAACAGACTTTTTTGATGTAAATTTAGAGTCCTCTTAAGGCTAATTATGGAGTTCCACAGGGTTTTGTGTTAGTTCCACTTCTGTTTATGCATGCTTCCCTTAGGCAGTATCAATAGAAGACATAGCATACATTTTCACTGCTATGCAGATGATACCCAACTTTATCTATCCATGATGCTATATTGTACAATGCGCAAAAAATCTTATATAGATGGTTAGACGTTGTCTAACTAGATGCTTACTCTGGATGGCATTGCCTTGGTCTCCAGTAACGCTGTGAGGAATCTTGGAGTTGTTTTTGAACAGAATATGTAGCTCGATGTGCATATTAAACAAATATGTAGACGCTTTCTCCCATTTGCACAATATCTCTCAAATTAAAAATATCCTGTCCAACTTGTTTCTCATCACCTGTGGTGATGAGAAACAAGTTGATTATTACTATAGACTACTGTCATTATTTTAATTGCAATTTTAATTGTAATTAATTATTATCAGGGTGTCTTAAAAACTCCCTGAAAAGCCTTCAGTTGATCCAAAATGCTGCAGCAGGAGTATTGACCGGGTTTAGAAAGAGAGAGCATATTTCTCCTTTACTGGATTCTCTTGATTGGCTTTTTGTCAAATCCAGAATCGAATGATCCTACAAGATTTTGAATAATCAGGCCCCATTTCATCTTACAGACCTCATATTATGAGGATGAAGAAGAGATTTGTTCTGCGTTTCAGGTGAGCTGTTCTTCTGCTGGACCATGACTGGCAAGCAAAGAATCCAATGGAGGTCCATGTGCAAAAGCCTGGTCCTGGGTACATTTCTGACAAGCTGCATGATCCTTGTTTACTGCCTCTCCACCCCACAAGTCCACTTCAGTCTGCCTGAGTAAGATGGTGTGGATGTGTTCTGTAGAAACCCTCATGTAAAATTTGCATTTGTCTGCAAGGAATATATTTCACATTCAATTATTTAAGTGTTTAAAAAATGCAAAACTGAAGTTGTTTTTAAAAACAAATATTTTCTTTCTAGTTTCACAAGTGCGATGGGTTGGTGCTTTTGTTTATTTTGTGTCACATCATATTTAGAGATAATTTCCACAAAACCCCATATGTCTTTATAGTTTGTTTTCCTTTTCCTCTATATAGAGTTCCGGTGCCTTATTCCTGCGCCCACCGTCCAACACAGTCCCACCACAAACCAACCATCAACAATTCAGACACTGCCTACACCTGTGCTCCTAAAGTTGATATCATGTTCATGAAGACCCACAAAACAGCCAGCAGCACCTTCCTTAACATCCTTTTCCGATTTGGAGAGAAACACCAGCTCAAATTTGCTTTTCCCGACAGCAGAAATGACTTCTTCTACCCATCTCTTTTCCAGCGCTCCCATGTTAAAGACTACAGACCGGGAATGTGTTTCAATATTATCTGTAATCACATGCGCTTCAATGCACCTGAAGTGTCCAAGTTGCTGCCTGTGGACACATCCTACATCACCATTCTGCGAGACCCTGCAGAGCTTTTTGAATCCTCCTTCCACTACTTTGGCCGCCTGGTGCCTTTTACTTGGAAGATACCAGGTGACGACAAGCTGACTGAGTTCCTACGTGATCCCCACAAGTACTTTGATCCAGAGAGTTTCAACTCTTACTACCTCAAGAATCTGCTGTTTTTTGACTTTGGACTGGACAACTCTCTGGATGTGAATGATCCGCGAGTGGAAGAAGGAATCAAATTCATCAGTGACCGTTTTCAGCTGGTCATGTTAGTGGAACACTTTGAGGAATCACTCATCCTGCTAAAGGATGCCCTCTGCTGGGAGATGGATGATTTGCTCTTCTTTAAGCTCAATATCCGTAAGGGATCCACTGTGTCTAAATTTACTCCTGAGCTGAGAGCTAGGGCCCTTGAGTGGAATGCTATTGATTGGAAGCTATACCAGCATTTTAATCAAACTTTCTGGAAGAAAGTAGATATGTACGGGCGGAAGCGTATGGCTGCGGATGTGGCAGAGCTCAAGAAGAGGAACAAAGAGATGACATCTATCTGCATTGAGGGTGGCCATGCTGTAGATGCTGGCAGCATCCAAGAGACAGACATGCAGCCCTGGCAGCCAATCGGAGAGAAGTCTATCATGGGCTATAATTTAAAAAAGAATATAGACAAAGCACATCGGAAGCTGTGTCGCAAGATGTTAATGCCTGAGATTCAGTACTTAACAGAGCTTGGGGTGAACCTTTGGATTACCAAGTTGTGGGGCCATGTCCGAGATATAATTAACTGGTAACTGAGTGTGTGAGCAACAGGGGCCAATTTAAATCTGAAACACTGTATTAAGAAGTACTGCATGGCTGACAGAATGGGAGGTTAATGAC